TTCCCAGAATGTAACAGCTGCTTCTGCACTGGTTATGGGATCCCTGAATGGAGAAACAGCAGCTGAAGCCTTTTATCTGTGGCCTTTCCTTCTTTATTCTGGGGTGGTATATGCTACTCGGAGAACAAGAGCTGGACAGTGCCATACTATTGTATATTCTTATTTCCGTTGCTTCACAGTATTTTATATGAAACGTGGGAGTTTTAAGTCCAGTAAGCAAATGAGTGCACAGGAAGAAGTGTCACACAGTAGCCACCTGGCAGAATGTAGTTTAAAGGCCTTGTAAAGCATCATCCAGAAATTTTGACAGAGGCTGTGAATGGAACTCGGGTTTTTTGAATGTACTTAATTCCCTCATTCCTTGGTTAATTGTATGTTAGGAAATGCCAGTATAGGAAGTATAGGATTTTCTTGACTTATAAACCCTGAAAGCAATGCAGATGGATTTCTACCATAGCTTTTATGTCTGGTCAGATAAGTGGGTGTTCACAGTTCAGATCTGTTAATCCTTTAAATCTCCATAAGGATGGATGGCTTTTGGTTGCTTTCAGTTAATGGTGGCTCTTGATAAAGATTCAGTATGAGCAGTAGTGGAAAGCATTGGCTTTAGCTCTTCCATTCGGGAAGAGGCTGAACAGTTAATGGAGCAGCCTCTGCTCTAGAAATGGACTGTTTGGCAGGGTAGGGTCATGAGCATTTTTTCTCATTTTGAGTCATTCCAAAATCAATTTGTTAAAGGAAAATTATTTTGGCTTCAGTAACTTATTCTTCACTGTTCAGAATGTAACAGAGGTTAGCCTAAAAATTCCTCCTTTTCTTATACCCCTTGCTCCCAATAATGTGCCCGAAAAACAATGAACATGTTGCAAATAGGAGACTGAAATAGTTCTAGTTGAGAGGAGTAATTATTCTTGTTAAGATTCTCCTTTTGATTGCTGCGTGTGACAGAATAAGCTGACACTTGCAAAAAGAAGAAAAGCGTAAGTCTGCCCTGAACTTGGAAGCTATCTTAGAAAGTCTTTCTCAAGCGAGTGTGTGGTCTGGTTCCTTTCATTCACTGCGAGTGCAGAGCTGCTTTATTAACTCTTTGCAGTGCTTTCCGGGCCTAGGAGAGCCCTGGGTTGCGCAGCGGATGATAACTTCTGCTCTAAAGACACAGGAGAAAATGTTCTGCTGAGGGGATTGGCAGGAAAAGGCAGCACTGGGTCCAAGTGCTGATAATCTGGAGAGCTGCACCTTGAAAAGCAGGTTCTGAATTAGGGCCCAGGGCTGTCTGGGAGCTGTCTAGGTACAGAAATTCTGGGCTTCCCGGGAAAGCAGGGAGTCCTTCCTCCAAGGAAGCACATGGCATATGGAGCATTTTCAAGGAACGGGCTGAAAGCAACCAAATGTACCTGGGTTACTTGTGCAGCAGCTCTCAGTAATATCCTTGATTGGGTGCCCTGCCTGGAAACTGTCTGGGGAGTCTGCACTGGGGCTTCTTTCCATGCACTCGGGGATTTCCTTGCTCTCTGTTCTCCAAGAGCCTTTTCTAGACTAACTCTGCTAAGAGCAACTTCATATCTCACTAAGATTAAAAAAGTGTGTGTGGTTTTAGGACTAAATTGCTTCAGGTGACAGTACAACAGGAGGCAAGGCATTTTTCAAACAAATGTATACTAGATATTATATTTAATGTGGCTGTTTTCTCTAAGACTGAAATATAGAATTAGTCGTGGGACAACTCACAGGAAAAATGACATTTGATGTGTTCTTTTCTATCTCGTAAAATATGAGTGATTTGTGTGTTCCCTGACTGATAACCACCAGCCGCAGAACTGATTGAAAACTGCAGAATGTTTGGCCAAATGCTGTACCGACAGCTCTATTTACTGCTTGCTTTTTGTCTTTTCTTTCCCTTCTGGCATTATTCCACTTCTCCTTCCCAGTGGTAGTTCATGGCTTTCCTTTTCTTCAGTTGTCTTGGGTTTTTCCTCTTTTCTCTCCCTCCACCCACTCTCCTTTTATTTATTTATTTTTTTATTTATTTGCCACTCTTTGTCCTGTTCTCGGTTTGTTTTTCTCCCTTCCCTAACATTCTTATATCTGTTTCTCTAACTAGCTTCCCTTCCCTCTCCCCACCTCTTTCCACACCCATTCATCCATGCACACGTTCGCAGACCTTGGAAAAGTTAGCCGTCACCTGGTATGTTTGACCAGAGAACTAGCCACAAACCTGTATGAAAAATGGGGCGCCTGTTATCCGGTTGTATTACTCAGGTGAGAATTACTCTTCAGCTGTTGAAATTCCCTGCAGCCTCGTTTGTATCAGTCTCCAGCTAATGCCTGAAATATTAAGCTCTACCTGCCTTTTTTCCAGCTGCTGGAAGGCAGAACGAGCTCCATGTCCTCATGTCTCGAAACCATTTCTCTTAAATTGTCCCTGTTTCATAGAGCCCTGCTCTAATGGGGAAAACAGGGCTCTTGAGGGAGTTGTCTGCTGTTTTAATCATTCCGGATTTTTTTATTTTTTCTTTTTGAAGCCCTCCCATTGAATATAATCTGTCCTTCTCTGTTGCTCAGGATGTTTCCCAGCTGAAGCAGAATGAAACGGGCCAAATCTCTGCTTGTTTCATTGCTTGTAAGTGAAGAGGTTGCTTTCAGTCTTTCATAAATGTGCAATTGGTGCATGATTGGTGTTTTTGAAAGGTTTTGCAGTGAGAGGGACAAGAGACTTTTTTAATAAGCATTTCCTGCAGAAACTGTGATGTGAGCCCAAGGAACTCCCTTGGGAAAGTTTCTGCAGCTTCTTTGCAGTAATTTCCTGTAAGGAGAAAGCCAAATCCCTTGGATTATTGTATAGTGGAAATAATGACAAGAGAGTGCCTCGAGATAGTTGATACTGATGCAAGTAAATAGTTCTGATTGTGATTTGTGTGTTCCCTCTCATTGCCTCTGTGTTTTGAATATAGTGAAGGTAACAGCTTCTGATGCCAGAATCCTTCAAGCAAGAAGTTCTGTAAAATGCTGTGAGCAGTGTAAGAGTCTGTTGTTTTCCAGCCCTGGAAAACGGACAACAGCTGAGATGCCCACATACCCTTTGTGCTCTGTATGCCACTTTGCTGTTTTTTTTTTTTTTTTTTTTTTTAGCATGATACTTTCTGTGCCTGCATTATATTCGCTTACAGCATCATGCCAGTTTACCTTCATCGCTGAATTATTCCCGCTGATCATTTTTTCTTAGGTTTTGCTGGCCTTTTGTGTGAGGAGAATATCAACAACTGTGATCCTGATCCTTGCCACCATGGTGAATGTCAGGATGGGATTGATTCGTACACGTGCATTTGCAATCCTGGCTACATGGGTGCCATATGCAGTGAGCAGATAGATGAATGCCACAGCAACCCCTGCCTCCACCAAGGGCGCTGCATCGATTTGGTGAACGGCTACCAGTGCAACTGCTTGCTGGGCACCTCGGGTACGTAATGCACAAGGTGGGAGGATGGAATTCAGAGAGAATTTGAGCATTTAATTCATTCGGATGTCTGCTCTGATGTGTGGTGAATTTGCAAAGAGTTAAACTTGTGGCATGAGCTTCAGGAGACTGCACTTTTGTCACGTTCATTTTGCTTGCTGTGTTTCCCTGTGTTTGTGTGGACCATCCATTACTGGTACTGCAGCCAGTCTTGGAAGGATTTACCTCCTCTTTACTCCCAAAATTCAAGCCTGCAAATATATCTGCTGGAAAAAATAGGTCTGATACCTGTTATGGTTTATGCCTTTGCTCGAACATTTATCGACAGGTTCAGTGTCAAAGTCAGCAGCCATCAATTCAGGTGACATTCCTCAGTGTCACACTGGTCCTGCATCACCACCTGTATAAATTGCACCAATCCCTAACATTTACCCCTCCTCTAACTTTTTTTTCAGGGGTGAACTGTGAAAACAACTTTGATGACTGTGCAAGTAACCCCTGTGTTCACGGGGACTGTATTGATGGCATTAATCGCTACAACTGCGCTTGCAAACCTGGATTTACAGGTAACGGCAGCTACTTGATGGCTTTGAGTTGTTTTGAAGATAGTTATCCTGTCTCATAGCTAAGAAAGCTGGGTTTTGTGTGCTGATTACAAAGGTTTCATTTAGTATCTCAGTAAATCTTCTACTCGTTGAATTTCAGCATCTTACATTAAAGCCAGTTTCTACCATGCGGAGGAATGTCCTAATCTGTGCTGTGAAATTATGTTCTTGTTAGGTAGCTAAGTCCAATTCATGGTTCTAAGTGTTATAAGAAATAAACAGACGTGTCTTTGGTTTATTGTTTGCAGCTCCTTTCCAAGGACAGGGAATACTGAACAGGATAGCCTGGTGTGTGTTTGAAAAGTATCTTGGGCTTTGACCACGAGGAGGGTTTCTCTTTTTGAGAGTGAAAAAAAACACATTAATTCAGTGTTCTAGTGAGTTCTTTCCACTCTGAAGTTTCCAACCAAATAACCTTTTTTTTTTCTCTCAGTAATGCTATTTCGTAATGTCATCTCTTTTGTTTCCCCTTTAAATCATAAGGATTTATGTAATATTGTACAAACGACTGGAAAAAGCAGCTTTTATGCCCTTTTGTGCTCAGATCTGTAGGTCTGCAACAGGACTAGTTCCTATGACAAAAACATTTATGTATTTATATATATGTTTATAATGGATGTAATATGCTTTGAGCTGTCTTGGATAATATGCTCATAAAATAATTGTTTCAAGGCAATCAGTACTGTTTCTGACAGTTTTCTCATCATGTGTGTTACTGTTGATTGCTGAATGATTCTAGTTAGAATCGATCTGAAATAATTAGAAGCAGAGCTGAGATGTTTCACGTGTTGTGTGTGTCTAAACCTCCTCCCATTGGTTCTGGCATGGTGGTCCTGTCCGGCTCAAGCATGCTCTTCCTTTTTGTCCAGCTGCAATATTTGTTCTTCTACTGGACTCCTTACTGTTACACTCTTAAAATATTTGGTAATTGGATGAATTTGCATTTTCCAGGCATCAAAGAGCAGGCATGCCTGGGATCTCATTACATCTCTCCTTAGGCTCAAAGTGCTTCTCCACTTACTGCCTGTAGTTTTCCAGCCTCGCAAGATCTGATGGTCACTGTTTGAAGGATCTTGCAGTCCAGGCATGCACAGTAAACAGAGGCTAGGCAAAACAGGAAACACTGTTATTTACATATCCTTTTACGCAATAAACCACAAGAACTATATTTACTGCAGAGTATAGCAGGATGGTTGTTCAAAGGGTGGCTGCTTCAATGCACAACAGCGGGGCTGCGATGAGTGGAGCTCGAGGTTTATTCCACGCACGATGCAACTAAGTGATTTTGGTCTTCCTATTATTAACTAGTTATTATTAATGGCATTCTGTTTAGGTTCTTGAATGGTCTGTAAATACTTGTTAAGTATAAATGCTGTTTTCCATGTCTTTCAAAAATGCTTCTGTGGGTTTCAGCTGAAGTTAGTCACTCTTTCATGCACCATCTGTCCCTCCACATTGGATTCACTGGACTGTCTCTCAACTTTTGTTCTTACAAGCGTGCAAAGTAAATGTTTTCATAAGAAATACTGTTTAATAAATAATATTTTTATAGGCCCACGATGTAGTGTGGATATTGACGAATGCACATCCAGCCCCTGTCACAATGGTGGAACATGTATAAATGAGATCAATGCGTTTCGGTGCGTGTGTCCTGAAGGCTACCATCACCCTCACTGCCAGTCCCAGGCAGATGGCTGTCTGAGTAATCCCTGTGTACATGGCAACTGCACACATGTGGCTACTGGGTGAGTTTTACTGTTGCATTTAATGCCTTGAAATCCCTATTCTAGAAGTAGGGCATGAATGAGAGTGTTGACGAGGATGTGGTTATGCCCCCACTGCAAGGTCTTCTGAGGGTGGGTGCAAAAGCAAATCCAAACTGCATGGGTAGTTTTGCAAATGGCCAGCTGATCGCATGAGGGCAGCACTATTAAGCATGTTTGCAAACTGATTTTTTTTAGTGTGGTTTCTTCTGTGCGTTCCTGGTGCAGTGCTAAATGCATTTCCACATAGCAGAATCTTCCTAGGACTTTTTAAAGATATCTATCTACAACAAAGTCAAAGTTGTCTGCTGCCTTGTCATTTTTTTTTTGCTTTCCCTGGAGTTCACCATTGCCTTGAGGCTTCTGATTTTTCTCTAATTTCTCAGTTTAGGATCAAAATTTATCCATTGCCCATGACATGCTCACAATAAGCTGCAGACTTTTAGTCACCAGCTGCGGTCTGTGCTATTTCCAAGCTGTTTATTTTTTCTGTCCCTGCTTTGTATTCTTTGCTGTCTTTGCATGGGCATGTAGCAAGGGTGGTCTGCCACCATCGGAAAGATGGTTCTGTGTCATTCAAGTAAGCAGAAAAGGAAAATAAAACGGGCTCACCTTTTTTGTGTGTGTGAGCAGCAGCAACCTACTCCATCAAACTTCAGAACGTGGAGCGTAAAGGCTGTCATGTCTTTGGCCACTGCTCTAGCTACCTAAAACTCTGTGTTAAATAACAAGCAAATAACTCTTTTTTGACAGTTCACTGTGAGATGGAGAAGAGCATTAGAAGGTCAGCTGGGGAAAGGTCTGATTAACAGCCAGTGAGAGGGGAGTAGGTAACAACACCCTATCTTCAAGGGTGGGCAGAGGAGCTCAGTATGGCAAATTGAGGGGAAGGTACAAAGCCATAGCTCATGGTTTTCCCCAGGAGATTTATTTAACATTTTTACAAAACAAAATCAGTCATTACGTTTTTGGGGAAGGCATTCCTTCTTGGGCAGGCTGTTTTGTCTGAGTCACTGGATGGGTGACGTGTGCTCGGCCTCTGGCTGGTTGCTGCAGCAGCTTTCTCAAGACCAGCTTTATTGCTGAGCAGTGTCTGCCTAGTACAGTTTATCCAAGGCTAATTCCATCAGTTTTAGTCACAATGTTGCACGCTGGAAAGAAGAGAGGAAAGCTCTTTTCTGGCCATTTTGGTGGCAGTCGTTGCTTGTGATTCTTCCCAACCGGGAAAGCCAAACGCTGAGGTCAGGAGCCCTGGACTCCCGGGTAGGATTCGGCAGCCCACGGGAAGTCTGGGAAGACGGTCTGTGTTTCCAATCCAGCCGCTCCATAAGCTTGAAAAAAGCCTTTGGTTCCTCCCATCGGTCTCATCACCCAGGCTGGGGTTTATGCCCATGTGCACCTTGTGCTGGGTGCCCGATACAAATCAGACTTGTCTGCAAGAGCGGCGCGCAGCGCGTGGCCGAGCCCGGGGTGACTCACGGCGTCCTTGCTCCGCGCCTTGCAGGAGCAGGGCTGCCTGCTCCCGCTTCGGAAGCACCAGGGAGTAAATGCTGCTGCTCCCAGCCTGCTGCCTGCTTTTATAGCCACTAGCCTTTATTAAATCTCGTTGCCTTTGGAATCTGTTGTCCCCTGTCTTATTTTTTTTTTCTGTTTGTCTAATGTGTTGAGATGATCATACCAAAAAGATACATGTTGTAGGTTAACTGAGTGCTTGTGAAAGTTGCAACGAAGTGAGATGTCATTTTAATGGCAGGTTTACATTTTGGAAAATATTGCTGACATAAGCAATATAAATGTAACTTAGGACTCTTCTAAAGACAAGCCTTCTAGTTTTCTGTCAAAGACCATCTGCAGGAGAAGGTGCCTAATTTAAGAATGCTCTAAAATTGCTGCTGTTTTTGCTTTTAAAGGTACAAGTGTGTCTGTGACCCAGGCTGGATAGGAGATTTCTGTTCTACAGAAGGGAATGAATGTAAATCAAACCCCTGCCAGAACGGAGGAACTTGCGAGGATCTGTTGAATGGCTATAGATGCACCTGTAGGAAAGGATTCAAAGGTGAACATTCAGACAGAAGCTTCTGCTCCCTGTGTCTTTCTGCTTCGTTACACCCTTATTGTCATTTTAATCTTTCATTAAACCTAATGGGAGTAGGAATGATGAGGGAAATGCCATGGTTACATGAAGTTAAATTATAGCTGGTTTCTTATGGGCAAGTTGCAGTAGTAGAATGCTTAATAATATCACATCTAATTCTTGTTTTAAATTCTTATTAAGAAATCTCGTTGCAGTTCAGCTTAATTTACATGGTAAAAACAGTTAAACTGAGCTGTATAAATGCATTAAGAATTGAAGAGGCATTAATTTACAGAAAGTTTAATGCAGTTTAGTTCACATTAGTTTTCCTAAGTGTGGAAACCCCTTAATGGGGAAGTCCAGAAAAAATAACATTCCAGTCCAGAAAAATAACATTTTCTTTTTTCAGGTAACAAAATTTGGGTAAGATATTTTAGAAGTACTGCAACTTGCTGCATGCAAGCAATTAGACATTAAGTGAGACAGTGAGTTTGTCTAACTCAATGTTTTGAGAAATGTTTTTGAGAATGGAAATGTTTTTCAGGCAACACTTTGTTTGATGTACAGAATATCGCAATATGATAGGCTAATCTCTGGGTGAAAAAAACTGTGTTTGTGTGTGGCACTTTCTAGGAATGTTGGTGATGTTTTTGCACAGTGGATGAATAAATCACTAACTGTGGGTTCCTGGGTTGCTCGGAACTGCCATGGCTGCCCCTGCTTGTGGCGAGCTAGCCCATGAGGAGTGCTCTGGTTTCCTTCTCCAGCTGAGATTTTCCCCAAACTGGAAGTGCCGTCCACTGCTTTGTAGCATAATCATGCAAGCTGCAATCGCTGTATTTGTTCCTCCAGGAAACAGCGGGCCCTTAACCGTGAGTTTCTCCCCTTCTGCTCTCCAGGTGTGAACTGCCAGGTGGTGGTGGCTCCTTGTTCCCCCGACCCGTGTGAGAACTCAGGGATCTGCCAGGAATCTCCTGACTCCGAAGGCTACACGTGCCTCTGTGCCCCTGGCTGGGAAGGTAACGTGGCTGGGCAACGCGAGCCGTGCCGCTACGCAGCGTTTTGATCGTGGACATAATTGGGGGCAGTCTTAATTCCGGACTCTCTGCGTTTCAGGGGAGAGATGTACAGTGGACATTGACGAGTGCCTCTCCAAACCCTGCAAAAACCATGCTCTGTGCCACAATATTCAAGGCAGTTACCTGTGCGAATGTCGTCCCGGCTTCACTGGCGGAGACTGTGACAGTAACATTGACGACTGCCTTTCCAGTGAGTATCAGTGGGCTGTTCTATCTTCTCCCTTTTTCCTAGAAGTAACTTTGATGTACTGGTGGTAAGTATTATTTGAGAAATACTTGAAACTGTTTCTTTTTAATGGCTTAAAAGGAAAAAAAAAAAAAAAGCTTTTTAAGATTTGCATGTTTGAGACAGTCTGTCATATTTAGCACCTATAATTGGACTTAAGTATCCTACCTGATAGTAGGAGTTATTCTCAGATTCTTAAGTCAAAGCAGTCCTTATAGTTTACATACTTTGATAAGGAACCCAGGTAAATGAAGAATTTTTAAAAATTTGCCTGAAATTTTCATATACAAAGTTAAAGTAACATTGCAGGGCTTGCTGGTATTTCAAAGGTAAGCTTGGTTGAGGTGTGGTGGGAATACAAGGTACAGAAGTCTTTCCTGAAATGCCTCTGTCTGAAATTCATATCCTGGAAGAGGAGTATCTGGTTGCTGTTCCGGTTAATCCATATTTGAAAGCAAATGAAGCAGGAGGAAGGCATGAGGGTAGCCCAGATACAAACATGTCTTGAAATTATCTAAATCATGAGAAAGTAAATGTTCGGGTTTTTTTGTTTTTTTTTTGGTTTTTTTTTTTACATTTTATATCATGTGCTTGACTGCTATGTACGCAGGAAACAAAATGCATAATAAGTTCTTTTTCTCACTGAGCTTATTCTTTATAATCATCAGATAAAATCAGGTTTCCTTGAAAATGTCATGTTTAAAGTTTATCTGGTACTATTTGAAAAGTCCTCTATGAAACCTTAGAGTTGCACATAATGTCATATTTTTGTAATTGGCTGGTTCTTTAAGTGGGGGAGAAAAGAGCAGAAAGAAAGAAACAAAAGAGTTGTTTTTACTGGAGTAGTGTAAAAACAAACCAAAGTCTTCAAGACTCTATGTATGAATTTGAAGAGCTGTATCTTGCACTGAAGAAAAAGTACAGTTGTGACTGCTATATAGAAAGATCTGAACAAGTACCTAAGTGAAACTTGTCCTGGGGGATCCCCAAAGCAGCACTGACGAAAAAAGTGTAAGGTGTCTGGCATTCGAGTGCTTCTTTCTGAACAAACAGATACAGTACAAAAGTGTCAGTGGAGTTTTGTGGAGCTTGTCTCTCCAAAGGTGTTCCTGAAGTTACAGTTATTGCCAGCCCTGCTTGGTTTTGTGTGGATGTCTGCAGCCATACCCATTTTTAAAGTGTTCCTCAACCTCTTTTTAACAACTAGAAGATCTCTGTCTGTTCCTAAATGTGAGATTGCTCCAGTGTCATCTGTTACATAGCACACCCATGAGGTGAAAAAGAGTTTCAGATTACTGCTGCAGATGATTTCATTTAGTATAACAGAACACAACTTGGGCCAAGTGTCTTTAATCTAGGAAGCAAACAAAGCCACCAACAACATGAACTTATTGAAGAGTTGATTCTGCAGTCTGCTTTTGCTGTCAGTAAATGTGCAGCCCAGAAAATTAATGCACAGTTTCTGGCTTCAGTGGTAAATGGCTGCCTGCCATAGGCACAATGCAGTATAGCTGCCAGGGCTTCTCTTTGAATGTGCTTGTTCTCTGCAGTAGTCAGATGACCTTTAAATGCACGCAGGTGTGTCTTATAACGCAAATTTTTATCATGTGAACATATTTCTCAGTCAGTAAATGAGCTTTAATTACCTTTCACATCTGTTTATCTTCATGTATCAGTGAACAGAATGATCTTGTACTTAGTTTGAACTGCAACATTTTTTGTTTGAGCTTATTTGCATCTTTCAAAATACATGTTTTAAAATATGCTTTTCGAAATATTGCTGCATAAAGATAGTCATAGATCAAAAAACTGCTAAGTAACTTCTTCCCCCTTCCTCTTTCCCGTCTCCCCTTTTTCTCCCTGCTCCCCATTTGGCCTCCACGTATGCAGAGTAGAAGAGAAAACTGTCTTCAGTGGCAGCATCTGATAGAGGAACATGGGTCTTAAGCCCAGAAAGCTGAAGGAGCAAAACAAGAAATTATGGAATGACTGTGATCTTTAGGGTTGGTGGGTAGCTGTGGAAGTAGGAGAGCAGTAGTTATCCGTTGTTGGTAAAACTTTGGGAGTGTCTCTTCCATAAGCAGATGAGAAAGGCTCTGTCATTCTCTAGGCTGTGTTATCCCTTTTTTTCTTTTCTTTTTTTTTTTTTTCCTCCCCTCCAAAAAGCTACTACTCTAGACCTGGCTTTTCTCTGCTACTGACTTTGAACTTACTGTAATGAAACTTACTCTATCTTAGACCCTTGCCAAAATGGAGCTTCGTGTGTGGATGGGATCAACTCTTTCTCGTGCATCTGCCTCCCCGGATTTCACGGAGATAAATGTCAGACCGACACCAACGAGTGTCTGAGTGAACCCTGCAGGAATGGAGGCGTGTGCACCCACTACGTCAACAGCTACACCTGCAAGTGTCAGCCTGGCTTTGAGGGAACCAACTGCGAGAACAACATCGATGAGTGCACAGAGAGGTGAGAGGACCCACGCAGTGCCTTGAAGTCAGCCCTCCTGAGAAGCAAAAATTAAGGACGAGGATCTGTTTTCCTGCCTCCTGTAGCTGAGATGTACTCAAGCTTCAGACGTGGCCCTAGTGTAGGGTGCTGGCTGAGGGAGAGCTGCCTGGCAGCCTCGGTGGTCTGTCTGCTAGACCAGCTGGTAGCCTAGTGCCATCGTAAGAGGAATACGACAGTGTCTAACAGACTTAAGAAACTGACAGATGATATCTTAAATAACTTACATTTCAGTAGGAGCATTATTGTAGACAGGCGGGAGAAGAGCAGATTGATTATGAACAGTTACTATGTTGAGAAATACAAATTTTGCAAAATTGGAAGCAATGGCCAACTGTCAGAATCACAGAAAAAATAAAATAGCCAAGTCGAGCAATTCACTGCAAATAATGGAAACCAAAAAGTAGGAAAGGAGGAAGAATTTGGAAGAGGTGAAGAGATAGCCAGAAGGAGCACAAGCACCACAGAGTCTGTACTAGAAAGGTTTAATCAACAGAGATCTGTTAATGATGACAAATTGGACATGGGTTAGCAAAGTTGAGGTAAAAAATAAATCCATTTTAAGAAGGAGATGTGGAACTGAGTTCAACAGTTTGTTCCCCAAAATAATTGGTTTACTTAGTACATTTTAAAAGTGCTCTTTGAGAGCTTTCAGTGGAGGCCTCATCCTTCTGCATACTTATTTTTAGAATTTGGAGGTTTCTTGTGTGTAGATTTAGATTTGCAAACAGAATTAATTTCTAATATATTTTGAAATACATATATATTTCAAAAAAAGCAAATTAGAACAAATAGTCTAATATGTTCCAGTGACAAGAAATGCATGAGATAAATAAATGTAAAGCTCTTGCTACAGTCCTACATTTTCCACATGCAAAGAGAAGATTTCTTTCGTATCTCTTATTGCAGTTGTGAAGGTGGAAGCATTTAACCTCTTTTACTTAAGAACTGAGTTGTGTCACTGATGAGGGTGTGTTTGATTTGCACAACAGTTTAATCAAGAGAAGTAATTAAGCTTTAGCAGGACATCTGGTTCTCCCTTGATGTTCATCCTGTTTTTGTCTTCATTATCAGCCAGGGCAGAAACCAGTCTTACAGGTATGAATGTAGGATGTAGCAATTTTCAAGGCTCTGCCAAGTTAGTCCTGTCCCCTCCTTCTCAACCAAATTTTACTGAGCTGCGATTAGGAGTGCCCTGCCGGTTAACTAATTTAAATTGAGTTCAAATGATGCTTCCTGGTCACATGTGGGACTCCTCCTATGAGCGAGTCCATCGTCTATAAATTAGTATTCAGCCTGTGCGGCAGAACTACAAGGCACTGATAAATTGGTTTTTTGGTATCTCTGCCGTATTCACAGTCAAAATTGAGATTTTTAAAGCTTTTATACCTCAGGCTCAGAGAGATGAGTCAGTGTGTTCTCCCTTGGAAGTCCCCTTTGACACTGCATCAGACCGATGACAAACATGAATTCATTTGTGTTCTTTGTCAAACCGATTATCTTGAGAGTCTAATTGAGGGTTAGTTTGGAGGAGCAGAAGTTTCTTGCCATATGTTTCATTGGAGAGAAACTCCTACAAGTTAATTTTGCCAGAGGCTTCACTACCCCATCTTTCCTCATAATTTCTCCCTAGTGCATCTGCTGTAGCAGGCTTTCTTATTACCAGAATGTTGAGGCAATGCTGATTGAAACTGCAGGAGCTATGGCATATAGGAGCTTTTTTTTTTTCTTTTTTTTTTTTTTTTTTCCTCCAAATCAAGGACTTTACTGAGGGTTTGATGAGAAAAGGAGGAAGGGAATTAGTAATATCACTGTGTTCACTTAATTCAACAAAGAGTAAGCTTGTGTTTGCATGGTCTGTGGACTGCTTCCTTGAGAAAAAACATGCCTTGGACTCCTTTGAAGTTGAAAAAAAATGTTTTGCAGCTTTTTTTTCCCCCTCAATTTATAGTAAAATTGAGGTCAATTTTGTACAGAATTTATTTGTTTGAGCAAGCCATGCACATACATGGTGCATATGTGTTTGTGGTGACATAGGAGCTGGGAAGATTTGATGAAGTGAGAAGTTAACTCAGTAAGAAGTGACTCACTGAAACCCTGGTTTACTTTCTTTGGCTGAGAAGAAAAAAGAGGGTAAATTTATCCCATTGCTTTAGCGTTGTCTGGTTTATGCCTCTTTGCTAACCAGTGGGGAAATGATGCTGCAATCTGCTTTTTTGCTTCATTGCAGGGATGTTTGCCTGCTGGCATTGACTGTGAACCACCTGCGTTCGTGTCAGCTCGGTTTTGTTCTCACTGTCTTGCAGCTCCTGTTTCAACGGAGGTACCTGTGTGGATGGCATCAATTCCTTCACCTGCCAGTGTCCAGTGGGGTTTACAGGATCCTTCTGCCTCGTGGAAATCAACGAGTGTGATTCGCAGCCTTGCTTGAACAAAGGCTCCTGTGTGGACAGCCTGGGGACGTACCGCTGCGTGTGTCCTTTGGGCTACACCGGCAAGAACTGTCAGGTGCGGTGAATTTTCGTCATGCCCATTTTTCATAGGGAGATTTTGTTAAAATTGCAACAGCGGAAGCTGCCAGGTGTAAGATGTGACGTGGAGCAGATCTCTAGTATGGCAGAGCTCTTGTTCCTTCAGCTCTGGTCTACTAGTCCAGGGAAAACTTGGTTCAGTGCCACTCTGTCAAAAGCTGGTGCTCCTGTTCAAAACTCTAGAAAGCAAACAGTGACTGCTGGGTGCAATGAAGAGGACAGCATGGTTGCTTTGGAGTGAAGGAGTTTTCTGGATGAGTTTTCTAAAGACCAAACACAGGTGTTAGCTCTGAAAATGGCTGCGCTTTATTTGAAGCATAAAATTGTCCTGGGTGCAGACAGAATCTTGTGTTTAAAAAAATAGATACCCCTTGAATGGAAGAATGTTGATCTGATTAGTAGGATCTTGGTTTAACTGCTCTCTTTTGTACTGCTTACTAAAGATTCATGTGAATTTGTTTGCCATAAATGCAAGGGAATTGTAAGACAGGGGTTATGGGATAACCCATGGGAAAATGTTGTCTTGACAGTGTTCCAGTTTCCTTTTTGGAACTGATGCATCTGATTTCAGTCTCGATCCTCAGCTCTAAGCATAGAAATAGCTGAATTTAAATTTTACAATTTGGCATATCACAGTGGAATGCTGATTCCATTTTGCAAATCTTCTTTATTATTCTGTGGTTATGAAAACAGCAAGAAAGAACGCTTTAGTACCGTCTCTAGCCTCAGAACAGTAAGCACTGACATTGGCTTCCTTCCTTAAGCCCTCTGACTGCTCTCTTGTTTTACAAATAAATCTTTGAATGCCTTCAACTACTGGAAAGCACGAGGGCTTAGCAGGGATTTTGCAATTGGCCTTCGTATTAATGTGTGTGTGCAGCACAGTGGGTGTTAGAGGAGGTGTTCCATGGGGACAGAGGTGCTTTTCCAGGGAGTGCCCTGCAAGGCACTGAACTTGTCAGGTCTGCTTCCAGGTATTGCTAATGGAGGAAGTGGATGCAAAGGAATGAAGTATAAAGAAACAGCCCCTCAGCTTGCCCTGATTAGGTATTCGGGACACACCACTGCAATCTCGCCGAGAGAACTGGCATTGAGAGTGGTCATAAAGTACAGGGAAGCTCAGGAGTTCCTCCTCTGTTGCATTTGCATTGCTGTTACTTGAGAAAAGGATTAATGTTCCCTGAACTAAATGTGGATTCGGAGAGAATCCACTTGGGTTGCATTTGGAGGGAAGCTCGGTCATCTTGTGTTACTGATTTTATACAGGGAATGGGAATTTCCTTAGCTTATAAATACTATTGAAAGCTGAATTGGAGTGATTTATAAATTACAGCTACACTGCAGTTTTTGTCTCAGTGAAAATCTGGCTTGACCTAATTAGCAAAGCTACATAAGCAGAACAAAATTGGCCAATGATTCATAAGTTATGGAATTTGCATGTAAAACAGTCGACTCCTCATTACAAATGCAGAAGCAAGAGGCTCAGTGTTTTCCTTCTTCACACTCAGATGCATGTGATAGAACTTAATTCCAAGTTTCTTAGTTGCATGTGAAAGCACAGATTTTTTCCTTTAATCTTGTGAGGAGACAGTTTGCATCTGAAAAGCAGAACTTTCTGCAAGTGGAATTGCATTTACAGCCAAAATTCAGTTCCATCGTCTTTAAATAACTCATCCTTCCTTCAAGTCAGATAGAAATCAATGAAATAGCTTAATTGCTTTGGAGACTTAAGTGGTCAGAAAGGAAATGATGGTTAGTGACTGATTTGTGTTAGGTCAGAGAGTTATTTTGAATCCTCACTTCACTTTCATATGATGATTTACTAAGAGAATTTTAGTCTTTGTATGTAGTCTTTGTCCTGCTTATGTAAAGAATAAAAAAGCCCAGTATGCTCTGGTCCATCCTCAGTTTGTGAAGTGCCCATTAAGGTGTGGAGATAATCTTGCTCTTGAAATGATGCTGCATCTGAGGCTTACTCCTCCTTACGTTTACTCTTTGCTGGGCGAGTTCTTGAGCCTGTCAGTGAAGCCCTTAGCTTGCTCTAGGGAAGTTCCGTCCCTTTCTTTCCAATGCCACATGGAACCAGCTCTGCAGAGCCTTGTTTCCCTTCTGTGTTTCTTGAATTTGTGCTGAATAATGTTCCCAGCAGCTCTTATGTGCAACATTTTGGATTTTTTTTCCCCTCCAGACACTGATGGATCTGTGCAGCAAGTCTCCCTGTAAGAACAACGGCACGTGTCTCCAGAAGGCCGCGCAGACGCAGTGCCTCTGTCCCTCTGGCTGGACCGGCGCGTACTGCGACGTGCCCAACGTCTCCTGCCAGGTGGCAGCTTCACAAAGGGGTAATGAGGCTCTCTGCTCCTTGAACTGAAAGCATTTTCCAGTGCATTATGTATCCACTCCTCCTTTCCTCACATCCCCGAGCACACGGCGTGCGTTGGAAATCCCAGAGAGCCTGGCCTCGTGGGAGTCATTCGCAATCACATCAAAGCTAGAAAAATCTTTTCCAAGTTCTTACTGGGGGTCAAGGCTCTCTTGAATAACAAGCTAATTCTTACTATAAAAATATTAAAAAAAAAGAAAAAAATATTTTCTAAAGTCTCAGTTTCAGTAAAATTTTTCTACATGAACTGCCTTTTTGTATAATGCTTCAGCTGTTTTTATGCCTTTATAATAAGTCCCAGGCAGACCGGATTTAAGACATACTGTCCTTGTATATGAAAGTTATGCAGTAACTTAGTATCTTTTTAAGCATTTTGTCCAAGAATAGGAGCTACCAAGTCCTGTTTCTGACTATAGCTAATACTGTAGGCCTTCAAAGCAGTTATCTCCTTTTTAATCCATGTTTATGCTAGGTGTTTTTCACCTGTTCGCTCACTGTCCTGACTTTTTATTTTTTTTTTAGGAGTCACAGTGCACCAGCTGTGTCAACACTCTGGCCATTGCCTCAACGTTGGAAACACGCACAGGTGCCAATGCCGCGTGGGTTACACGGGCAGCTACTGCGAGGAGCAGCTGGATGAATGCGAGTCCAGCCCGTGCCGCAACGGGGCTACCTGCCGGGACCACCTGGGCGGGTACCAGTGCGAGGTGAGGCACGGAGCCTTGGCAGCAAGAGCCCTAAGCACTCAGGAGGGTTGTAATGCGGAGGAATCCAAAGAAATCAGGAACACACCTACAGGGTAGAATAGTTTCAAGCAGAGAAAAAAGCAGTCCACGCCTGGAAATGATTTATAATTTGGCTGTGGCAGAAACAGTGCCCCTGAGAGGCTTTTAAGACTGAATTAGAGGTGTGTTTGTTAAGGGGTAAGGTTGTAGTCATTTGAGTTCTATGCCTCCTTGGAGACAGAGCTCTTAAGAGATTTCATAGCTGAGATATGTTTTAATGCACTATACATATATTTTAATATAAAGAATACCTTGGGAGCTCATTCCCAAGAAGGAAAGGGTGAATTTTTTGTAAACCTTGAGGCAAAACTTCTACAGTGAGTGCAGGGCTAAAATGTTCAAGATTTGATGTCATACCTTATAGGAATAAAGCCACTTTATAGGAATAAAGCTAAACGCTGTACAGTTAAGTAGGCACACAGTTAACCTAGGGGCTTAAGTTGTCTGTGCAGTCCTTGAAATCACTTGCAGTTGCACAGCTACAAAGAAGACTAAATCTGTCCCATGGAGGGTTCTTTTCCACTGTGTTGGCCTTTTTCTTTCTCAGTTGGCTGCTGGTATATTTGTTTTATGAAGATTATTCACACTTATTTTTATTCTGCTAGTGTGTGGCTGGATACCAGGGGGTCAACTGTGAATATGAAGTGGATGAGTGCCAGTTTCAGCCCTGCCAGAATGGAGGAACATGCATAGACCTCGTCAATCATTTCAAGTGCTCCTGTCCACCAGGAACTCGGGGTATGAAACTCTGTTATTAAGCGAATGTTCCAACAGTGAATTTTCCTCTCTGATAACTGGTTTCATGCCACAAATTCTACAGAGAATACATTATTTCCTGTGAAGAATGTTCCCAAAGCGCACTGAATCCCTTGAGACAGATACTTTCTCTATCAAAATAAATACATGTTTTTTAGGCTATGGGATCTCTTGTCTTGCAAAGGGCCTTTTTTTTTTCCCCCTTTTTCTTTTTAATGAATAGATCACAACAATGCCTGAATGCCTGACAGTAAATACGAAGTTTCTTTTTAGCTAAGATGCTGTTAGCTGTACAGAAAAGTTGCATAGTTCTTGCATAATTTCCAGCGCCCTTTACTCTTTTAAACTTTGTTCCTTCGTTGTCCTCAGTCCTGGAGTCTTCTGTGGAGGAATTCTGTGCCTCTAGGGTAGCTTATTCTGTTTCAGCAAGTTTGAGGGGGTTTGCTTGTTTGTTTTTTGTGGTGGCTTTTTTTTTGTTTTGTTTTGTTTTTGTTTTTTAAGTCCACAGTTACATAGTGGTGGTTTTCAGTGAGTATGATTCCACAGCCTTTTCAGTGTCATTTTTCTTGAAACCTAACCGGCCATTTCGCAGTTACATCTGACATTTGCAAATACTGAGGATTGCACAGGTCAGATATTTTTAATCCATCACCAAGTGCTTTCTCACTTGCCTTCCCCCCCCCACCCTCAAATTTATTCTTCAAATCAGTTAAAGAAAAAAAACTTCAGAGGAGGCCAAATGCGTGTCAAATAGAAGTAAATTCTTGGTTCATATCCTGAGAAAGATTGTAATATCATCTGAAATGTTTGCCTGCTGCACATACATTATTAGCAGTTTATTTTAGTGTGACTGCCAGCTGATCTCTGCAATCTTCATAAGTGTTTATTTCTTTGTAAATCATTGTGAGAGCAGTTCTTAACATACTGTTTTTATTAGATATTCCAATTAAAAAATATTTGCTCCTAGTGTCTCTACATCAAAGTATATATTTATGCACCAATTTCTGCAATGCTAGGATGTTTTTACTGTGCAAAAGCATTTCTCCTCCTTTTGAAGAATCTTTGAAGGCTGAAAGTATTTACTTTAACTCTTCCATCTCTAGATTTTGGGATCTCTAGATTTTTTCGCATCTTGGGATTAATTTGGTTTTTTTTTGTTTCTTTTTATATAAGGAATTAGCAGAGAGTGATTTCACTGCTTATGATATCAAGAGTTAACTTTTGTCCCTGCTTCAGTTTAAGCCAATACTTCACAAAACTACCCAAACCACTTGGCAATGACAGTATAGACATCCTTTATGTTTATGTGGACAGGTTTCTCTCCTTGATCTGCTCGCCCTCCCTGCACCTCTTTCTCCGTTCCGCTGTGTGGCTAAAGCAGGACCAGTAACAGGCACTTCTCTTGCACGGGCACCCTGTAAGGAGAGGGACAAGCCGCCATCCCCAGCTGTGCTGAGTTCACTCGAGGTCCCCACGAGCCAGACGTTTGAAGTGGCATGCTGGCTAGAAATCTGTGTTTTATCACAGCTCTTTTTTTCTCCTGTTGGTTTGTTGTTTCTTGTCACTTTAGTGGTGGTGATGATGATACAAATGCCCTTTGCAGAGTTTCAGTGTTACCACCAAATTAAATGGGTGCTGGGACGTTTGCAGCCTTGCAAGAGCCAGCGCAGGGCGGGCTGGCTGCGTTCAGACACAGTAATTTGAGTGTATCTTTTGTTTTTGTTTTGTTGTTGTGTTTTTAATTATGCCCTTAAATTAAGTCAAGAATGACGGCTGCTGAATCCCAGTATAACATAGCATCAAGAACAGACTGGATGTGAAACACATGCTCCTTGGGTCCAGTTTGGGGTTGAACAAATGCAATCTACACCGAGGGTGTGGACTGAATTAAACTGAGTTCTTCACCTGTTTATATCTAGCACCGTGTGCGAAGCAGCCTTAAAACTTGCTGAGCAATATAGGAAACGAGACCATGGCACTAGGAAACGAGACGGTGACACTATATCCTCAAATCGCTGCCTTTGCTGCCGACAGGCCGCCTGTGCGAGGAGAACGTCGATGACTGCGCCCCGGACTCCGGCGTGCCCCGCTGCTTCAACGGGGGCCAGTGCATTGACCAGATCGGGGGCTACAGCTGCGTGTGTCCCCCGGGCTTCGCGGGCGAGCGCTGCGAGGGGGATATCAACGAGTGCCTCTCCAACCCGTGCAGCCCTCGGGGAAGCCTGGACTGCGTTCAACTGGTCAATGACTATAGATGCATCTGTCGTAGCGCTTTCATTGGTGAGTGTTCACAAACCTGCTTCCAGTTTTGCAGTGATGCCGTGAAAAATGGTCGGTCTTTAACTTTCTGAGAATCATATTATCTAGTGCCTTCCCTTTACAATACCTGGTTGTTTCCTTGCACTGTGTCTTAGTTTTTAAACCAATCTTTTTCTTTAGAGCTTCTAAGAGATGGGTCTTCCAGAGTTGTCTCAGACAAAGGAATGTCCAGGGACATCTGACTGCCAGGATTATTTTTCCTGGTATTTTTTTTTTCTTCATAATTTCCCATTTCTAATATTGGAAGGATGACTGTTTATGTGTCAGCTTCTCCCTAGTCTTTCCTTTTGCAAAGCAGCATATGAATTTTCTCTCTATATTAATCTCACAGTATTCATAATTAGGTTTTGGCCTCCTTTTCTACCCCTTAATCCCTTTCTGCCTTATATTGGTGATGTGGTCAGAATGAAATATTCTGTGCACAGACAGATTTTACATTCCTAGCTTAGTGATGTGATCCTTCCACAGTCCAACTTTGAATCACAAGTCTGCAAAAATTTCATTCTGTGCAAACTTCTGCCTCACCCCCTCTGGATCTCTTCTTTGTCAGTATTACTGTTATTCTACTTTCTCCCTCCCACTGGGTATAAGTTTGGGCTCATGGTCTCCAGATGTGTATTGGCTTTCAGCTTTTGGGTTTGCGTGTTGATTTAACTTATATATTCATTTTTTTTCCACTAAAACTTTTCACTTTCCCTGCTTACCAGTGGTCTTTTCTGCAGGCTTCACTAGTACTTTTTACTCTTTTTTTTTTCCTTTAAATTTAAAGATGCTGAGATTATTCACTAAATTTGTGGTTGTCAGATGTAAAGATATCACGAGGACACAGTGTAGCTGAAGAATACATGTGGTGGTTTTTGAATGTTAACTACATGAACTGGCACATGAAGTTTCTAAAACAGCAATGTATGGGGAAATTGGAGCCAGGATAGCTAGTGAGCTGCTGGTGCTAAATGTTAGATAGTTTCTGTTTAATCCCCTCTGTGAAGCTTTCTTTTGAGCTATGTCTCATATTGTTCCTGGCCCTCTCAGGAGGGTTGCGGGAGCTTGCAGCATGGGGAGTGCAGACCTGCAGCTCCTTTGGACATGAAATCCATCTGGAAACATGGGGTCCAGTTGGGTCCAGGTCATGCTTAGGTCATGTTCATCTTTTTAAACTCTGGTGCTGGTGAGAGATGCCTCTGTGTGCTGCTGCACCCGCTGCTCAGGGCAGTGAGACCTCCGTGTGAAGGGAGAGCCTGAGGAGGCTCTGCTTGTCCCACTCGCTCATGTTGCGGCTGCTCTTAAGGCAGATGCTGGCAGTGCTCAGGCGCTGGCAGCGGGTGACTGCACAGGGTTCTTTGTCTCACCTAATGTTACCTCTAGTGCTGGTTGGTGTCAGGTGGGTTCCTACACGTTGTTCATCCATGGTTAGGGAGTGATTTGCCTTTGGACTCGCTGAGAACCTCCCAGCGGGTGCAGAAGTATTAGCCCGCCCGAAGCTGCTGTGCTACACACGGCACCTTAGCCACTGTACCCGGGTGTCTTGGTGACAGCGGCGCGTGCGGAGGCTTCCTGGTGCGCACGGGCAGCTCTGCTCTTCTCGCCCCATGCCTCAGGTCGTCACTGTGAGAGCGTCTTAGATGTGTGTCCCCAGAAGCCGTGCCAGAACGGAGGCACCTGTGCTGTTGCCAGCAACATGCCCGACGGCTTCATCTGCCAGTGCCCGCCGGTAAGTGCCACCTCCTGGAGTCTGGGTAGCTTCGCCCTAGCTGGCGGCTTCTCCGGCTGTTACTCTATCAGTGTCACTGGGATGCTCTAGGTGGAGTGCTTGTTTTCTATCCTACCTGCAAAGCTGTGTGCTTGGGCACTCTTCCCACATCCTTTATGTTATCTACTTAGCTGGGAAACCCCAGGATTCCAGTTGCCCTAGGAGAATAGCTTGCCTCTTGCTACTCAAAAAAAACTTGCCTTTTGAGGTGGTGTGGATGATTTTTGCCATAAAGCTAATATTAAATAATTAACAGGCTTTTTACTCTTCAGTGTTTTCTGTTCTTACTGCAAGATCACCCTTGTTTAAGGCTTTCCTAAGCCCCTTCAAAAAGTTAAAAGAGCCTTGTCTCTTATTGTTATTTATTATTACTTAAAAGTAGTTTATCCCTGAGGCTAGACCCAGAAAAGCATGACATGCCCCTACAAAAAGACCAGAAGAATTACTGCGGAGAAAGGGATTGCACATACCATCTTGCCACTGGCCCTCAGAGCACTGAAGAATAAGTCTGAGCCTGTTTTTTTTGCTTTTTTCTTCTTTCCTCCCCCCGCCCCTTCCAGGGTTATTCTGGGTCAAAATGCGAGTTCAGCAGCCACAGTACTTGCGGGCAAGTGAAATGCAAGAAGGGGGAACAGTGCATCCAGACATCGTCTGGTCCCCGGTGCTACTGCCCCAAGCTGTCTGCAGGAGAGGAGTGCCAGACACACAGCGGCTGTGCCAGCGTCCCCTGCCAGAACGGCGGCATCTGCCACCCTCGTTCTCAGCCTCCCTACTATTACTGTCAGTGCCCTGATCATGCCCAAGGCAGCCAGTGTGAACAGCTTGCTCATCCCAGCCAAGAGCCCCAAGGATGTTTGGATTCCCACTGTGCCGACAAAGCAAGGGATGGCTACTGCGATGAGGACTGCAACACCCATGCGTGCCAGTGGGACGGAGGCGACTGCTCCTTGACAATGGAAGATCCCTGGGCCAACTGCTCCTCTTCGCTGCGCTGCTGGTTGCTTTTCAATGGGCAGTGCGATGACTTCTGCAACACACCCGAGTGCCTGTTTGACAACTTCGAATGTCAGCAAAACAGCAAGGCGTGCAAGTAAGGCTGGATCCTGCCACTGTCTTTGTATCACTAACACGTCTCCTGCTAATGCTTGCAATCGCTGCTGTTCTTCGTGCATGTTCCTACTCTCCCTTTCCTTGTTTTCTGGTGCTGGTCTATGCTCTTGCTAGAAGTTGAGCATCAAGCAGTTTCCTTTTTGCGTACTTCTCATCTGTTTTTGGAAAGAAGTTCTGGAATGTGTTTGTTAGGAGCTAAGTTGATACCCCGAGTAACAGTAATGTGTTGACCTGCTTGATGGATCTCTGTTGCTTTCTACAGGAGTGTAAATGGAAGGCATTTCACCTTGTGCTAGATCTCAATAGTGCTGCCTCCCATCCTGGAATCCCTCCACAGTTGCAATACCTGTGTCTTTGTCCCAGGTGTATTTCCTCCCTCAGAATGGGTGTTCCTGCCTTTTCGTTATGGCTCTCCCTTCTCTGCAGTCTTTCATGATAACTGCTACACTTTGCTGTGGTGGTTGCTGCTTGATGAGACAGGAGATTTTAGAGCTTTACCTCAGTAAATAGAATAAACAGTTCTCTTCTACCAGAACTGAAGTGGAAGTGCTGTGTGTCCAACTTCCACTCTGCCCATTTTCAATCTGTGTCCTGGAGTTATAGTTTCTTTTTTTTTTTTTTTTTCTTAAATCCTGAATGAAAGTGTTCTTGGCCCTCAACTGTAAGCGAGAATGATTAAGAAGTGATGAAAAGCTTCGTACACCAATCTGCCAGCCCCTATAGTGCGGGTGTACTGTACAGAGCGTGTGTATCCTTATGCTAACTGCAACCCTTTGGCCGTCGCAGGTACGACACGTACTGTGCCGATCACTATGCAGACGGGCGCTGTGACCAGGGCTGTAACAGCGAGGAGTGTGGCTGGGACGGCCTGGACTGCGCTGGTGACAAGGCTGAGAAACTAGCAGAGGGGACCCTCATCATCGTGGTCTTGATGCCCCCTGACGAGCTGCTGGGGGACGTGCGCACCTTCCTGCGCACTCTAGGAACTCTGCTCCACACCAACCTCAGGATCAAGCTGGACTCCCAGGGAAACCCCATGGTCTTCCCATACTATGGGGAGAAATCCGCAGCACGGAGTCGGCGATCCCTCGTGATCATACGCAAGCAGAGAGAGCTGGAGCAGGAGGTCATTGGGTGAGTGGATGCCCCCGAGTTCCTCCTGCCTTGTTAGGCAGCTAGGTCTTGCTTGTAGGTGTGTGAGTGGTCTGGACCATCTGGGACTGCAGCCTTTCTGGTTTGCTGTGGGGAAATTAGACTGCCAAACTCAGTGCTGCAGTGGAAAGGTTAGCCTAAAATGCCACAATTGAACTTTGCAATGGTTTTGACAAAATCTTATTTTTCTGATGCTGATTTTTGTGTGTTGCTGTGTTGTTGCAGCACCAGAGTGTTCCTGGAGATTGACAACCGTCAGTGTGCGGAGGACTCGGAGCAGTGCTTCCACAACACAGAAGCTGCCGCGGCTCTCCTAGCTGCTCAGGCCATCAAGGGCATGTTGCCCTATCCCTTTGTGTCTGTCCAAAGTAAGTGATCTCAGGGGGAAAATGTCTTGTACAGGCAGGCAGACAGGAAACTTGAGCATACAAAATGCACACTCAGATTATTGATCATCTTCGTATGTCTCACTGTTCAGTACAGTTTCTGGAAGATCCTTATTTCATCCCATCAAAGCCTTCCTGTGCTCCATGAATTATCTGAGGGGACTTTTCCTGCATTATTAATAAGGCAGGTCATATAAATGTGGAGCCTAGTCATTTTAGTACATGTAGGAAACATGATCTCTCACATCCTGCTGTGGTTTATCACTACTGCGGTTGTCTTATCTGTCCTAGAAACAATTTGTGTGTTCTAAGCCATGAACTGAAGGAAAATGTTGCCATTAGAGAGAAGGAAAAAGGAGATGCGCCTTAGGCTTCCAGATAACGTTTTCCTTCAGTGCTGGATATTACTTTTGATTTCTGTCCCACACCTTCAGTCTGCAGCTCAGCTGCAGTTTCATACTGGGCTGGTAACATCGCTAGATTCCTAGCTGGGGAAGAACACATGCAGATCAGATTGTCATCTCAACTTCACTAATTGCACTGCGTTTTAATTTGGGTTTTAGGTGAACCATTGCTGCCACCGAAGACCCAGTTGCTTTACCTCCTTGCCGTGGCAGCTTTAATCATCCTCTTAATCCTCCTCTTGGGCGTGATGATGGCAAAGCGCAAGCGCAAGCACGGCTCGCTGTGGCTCCCTGAGGGCTTCATTCTGCGCAGAGACCCCAGTAACCACAAGCGCAGAGAGCCAGTGGGGGAAGATGCAGTCGGGCTCAAGTAAGTCTCCATTTGGACCGCTGGTCACCTGTTTGCTAACATGAAGTAGGATGTTAAGAACATGGTTTACAGATCTTTCACTAAAGGCACTTAACGCCACGAGAAAAGCTGCCTTTTAAACTGAAACAATTTAGTCTCTATCCCCAGATTTAATATTTCCTTATTGAACAGAGGAATATTAAGTAACCTTAATCTATAAAATACCAGTAAGCAATCTAATCTTCTGATTACATTTGGTTATTTGATGCTCTGTTTAGTTCAGCGGTTGGGTACTTTTTGTTGCATGATTTGGGTTTGACATTTTTGAGTTCATAGGTGAAAATGAACTTTTAATACTTCCAGCTCAAAGCATGGAAGACACGACTCAGAAATAATAGAAAACTTCAGAAGAATCCTATTGGTGCAGTTTTGACTTTCCACTGACTTAACCAAGTGTACAGTTCTAAGTGTATTAATGCCACTGTTGGCTGGCTGAAATTAATGCAGGGAGTGAACTCTAGATAGGTTTCCTGAAGCTGCATGGAATCAGCCATATTGTGAACCAGGGACAAATACTTTAGGAGTTATTATTTAGCCTGGAAAATATCTCTATTTCTAAGTCCTGTTCAGAAGAGTTTGGTTGTTGCTAACCTGACTACTCTACCAATGCTCAAAGGTTTTTTCTGCAGCCAATGCAACACCTGCTTTCAGAGACAGAAGGCCAGGTTTACACTTTGCAAACATCCCAGTAGCACATCGTAACAAACAAAACCAGGCACCCAGTTCACACTCGGTTCCTTTTATAACCCCTGTGGAGCTCACCCATAGTGAGATTTATCTCCTGTTTGGTGCCGCATCTCCAGTCAGCATGGTGGTGTGACAGTTGTGATTGCTGGCTGAGCCTGTCTCTCTGCTAGAAACTGGTCATGGGCGTTAGGCCCAGTCTGCTGGTGCCATGGTTGATATTTGCAGTTTGAAACTGCAGGAGCTCAAAGCTGCAGTGGTTGGATGGGCACCACTGGTGCGTGTGATGCCTGTTGTCATGCGGCAGCTGTGCGACATCAGTTTCCGTTGAGATCTTCGATGTTCCTCTCTACCTTCTTGGCTCCTGTTTGCAAATTACCACACGGACTGCAGCCCGTCTGCAGACAGTGATGGTAGCACCTGGCCAGCTTGCAAAGCTGTGTGCTTTCCCTTGCTAGGAACCTGGCGGTGCAGATCCCCGAGGGTAACCTGGCTGACTCTGGACCAACCGAGCACTGGGCAGGTGACGGCGGACCTCAGCCCAAGAGAGCAAAGGTAGGAGGTTGTCTTGAGCGTAGCCAACTGACCCCTGAGACTGCTTTGGACTAGCAGGGGAAAACGCTGCGTTCACTTCCAGGGTTCTGCTGCCCAAATCGTCCTGTTGCTCAGGTGTGTGTTAGATGTAACTAAAGATTCCCGATGAGCAAATCCTCGGGTTAGCACAGCCTTGCCAGGCCTGTGGAGAAAGCAGGTAAGTTCTGTTCCCATGTCCCCTCCCTATAAGGTCCCGCTGTACCAAAGGGAGGAGGTTAATGACATCGTGCAGCTCAAGCCTGATTTTGTGTGGTGGGAATATAAAAGTTAATGCCAAACCGAGGTAAATGAAGGTCTTGGTTAGCTTAAAATAAATAAAAGAATGAAAGTGTGAGAAATTGCAGTGTCTTGGGCTGCTTGATGAGCTCTCTCATTTCTCTCCGTGCTCAGGCTGAGGATCAGGCCTTGCTGCCGGAAGGCGACGAGCAGGTGGATCAGCGCCAGTGGACACAGCAGCACCTGGAGGCAGCAGACATCTGTGGAAGCACCTCGCTCGCCCTGACACCGCCTCAGGCCGACCAAGAAGTGGACGTTCTGGATGTCAATGTCAGAGGGCCAGGTCAGTGCCTTGTGCTGCAAGCCAGCCTGGGTCTCCTGTGCTTCCAGCAGCTGCTGATGTTTAAAGCTGATATGGGAAATGCAGGGACACCAGCAGAAGTTCTACAGCACTCGAGGAAAGATTGTGCAGAGTCCAGAAAAGAAAGCTGGGGAGGTTGGATCATGGTCTGCAGCACAAGGAATATCATGTAAACAGGAGGAAGAGAATACACTTGTCACACAGTGGTAGGAGGTGGCCTGTGATCTCCTGCAGGACAGCACATGCGTAAAGATGTGGTCAGAAAGGCATTGTAGCGGAAATTTGGAATGCACAGTTGCACTGGAAATTACCTTAAACTTGTCCAGTTCTCTCACTGCTGAGGTTTCTGCCAGACTCTGCTGAGGGGCAACTTATCAGACTTTGCACCTAGAATGTTTTTTTTCTGGCAGGGGGAGCAAAGATGGCCTTTTCCTAAATAAGGAGACATCTGGCAGAAAGGGAGATTTTTTTTCCTGTGTACAGTTTTTCAGTTGTACCTATCAGATGGTGTACCTGTACAGTTTTTCAGTTGTACCTATCAGGTGAACTTTTAGACTTTACCATCTTCTTGTAAGTTTTACATCT